CGCGTCTGCTCCACCGTCATCCCCCACCAACCCCTGCTCCTCCTCCTCGCTCAATGTCAATTGTTGCGGCTTCCCCTTGGGTGGTTTCACAAATCCACAAGATTTATCAAAACCTCTCCCTCCCTCTCTATACGTTTTCTACCTCCAAAGCTCTTCGGTGACTAGAATCTTTTAACTCATCAAACTCAAAGTTGGGTTTGGATTTTGTACATCACTCACCCAGTAGATACCTCTGAGTCATCAAAAAACTTACACGTGGCAGCACATCCAAAACAATGCTTCCACTCCCATATCCTTCTTCTACCCCACTACCCAAAAGACAACACACCCCTTGTGGGTTTCCCAAGTTTTCAACGGCTATTACCACACAAAAGAAAAGCAACTTTGTAAAGATGTCATAGGTTGCAGCAAAAAGAATGGTTTGTTATTATGTATTTTGGTGTTTTAACTTTCTTTTTAATGTATTTTGTTGTTTTGGAGCTATTTTCATGCCTTTATTTTTATATTTTTAAAATCAAAATACCTCTTCTTTCTTCGTCTCTTCGAATTAACCTAAACCTAATACCCTTTTTGTCTCAGTCTCTCAAGTCTCATCTCTTTTTGTGTTCCCCAACGGGAAAAAGTCTAGACCGACGGATGGCCTCCAACCAATGGTCTCTATCTCTTAGTTAATCTCTCTCAATCACTCTCTCTTAGTTCTCACTCAGTCTCTCATCTCTCTTAGTCACTCAACTCTCTCAATCTCTCTCTTAATTCTCACTCTATCTGTTTCTCATCTCTCTTCATCTTCCCCAACGGGAAAAAGCCCAGATCGATCAATGACCTTCGACTGACCAACGGTCTCTTAGTCACTCTCTCTCAATTCTCACCAAGTCTCTCATCTCTCTTAGTTCTCACTCTCTTAGTCTCGCTCATCTCTCATCACTATAGCTCCGCCAGGTGCCACCTCTCAGACTCTCACTTCAGGCAACATCTGACAACAACCACCAACTAGTTTGACACCAGCAAATTGCCACCTTTTTTAGTTTTTTTTTTGTATTTTTAGAATGAAAGGATGTTTGTTATATTTTTCATTTCAGATTGAATGAATATTTTTTTTACTATTAGAATTTAGAAATTTAAATGAATGAATGTTTAGTATATTTTTTTTTTCATTGTTTAGTATATTTCTCTATGCATTAGTCTATTTTTCATTGTTTGGGACTATTATAAGTAATGGAGAAATCAAATTCTCCATAAAATCATTCATTGATTCATTGTTTGGTTTAAATAGACATAAATCGTATGTCTATTTTTTCTGATTTTATGGATAATTCGGATTTGGCTTAAATCATATGTCTATTTTTTTCTAATTAAACATGTATTTTTTTTTATTTATCAGATATGTCAAGTACGAGTGTTAACAATATAATGAGAGAGAGTCAAACCCAAAGTGCCAATCATCTAGTTAGAACCACAAGCATAAACCCATCTCCTGCACTTTCAAGTAATGCTGGCAATTCATCTCACCTAACTAGTTAGAGATTGATTCAAAAGTGTGTACCACTTCTTCTAGAAAAAAAATCTTGGGTGTGGGATAATTTTACTAAACTTGATTGTAAGAATAAAAATAAACAAATGGCAGAGTGTAATATTGTGGTAAAGACCTAACTTGTCCATTTGCAAGTGGTACTAGTTCCTTAACTAATCACTTGTCTAGATGTGAACAATATCCCTTAATAATATAGACAAGTGACAAAAGACTTTGGAAGCTTCATTTCAAAGTTCTAAAGAGGGGAGCACCACACCACCACTTAAGCCTTACAAGTTTGATCAAAATGAATGTAGAAAGGAACTTGCTAGGATGATTATTGTAGATGAATTACATTTTAAGAATGTGGAAAGAAAGGGGTTTCATGGCTTTTGTGGTTTGATGCAACCAAAATTTGTAGTTCCTTTACACTACACAGTAGTTAAAGATTGTTATAGACTTTATGTGAAGGAGAAGAAAATGTTGAAACAACTTTTTAAAAAACTATCATCAAGGGTTTGCCTCTTTACAGACACATGGACATCATCTCAAAACCTTAGTAACATGTGTCTCACTGCTCATTTCATTGACGTTGAGTGGAAATTGCAAAAAAAAAATTAAATGTTTGTCCAATTTCTTGTCATTCAGGAGAGATAATTCCATTGAGAGGTGTTTACTTGATTGGGACATTGAAAGAGTGTTCACTGTGACAGTGGGGAATGCAAGTTCAAATGATGTAGGAATTCAATATTTGAAGAAAAGACTTAATAATCGGAAGGGAAGTGTCTTAAGAAGTGAGTTCTTACACATGAGATGTGGTGCACATATTTTGAGCTTAATTGTCAAAAAAGGGTTATTAGAGGTAGATGATTCTATTCTCAGGATTCGTTCTATAGTGAAATATGTAAGATCTTCACAAACAAGGTTGCAAAGATTTAAGGATTGTGTGGAGAAATAAAAGATAGTGAGTAGGGTCTTGTTTGCCTAGATGTTGGAACTAGGTGGAACTCTACTTACTTAATGCTGGAATCTGCTTTCAAATTTCAAAAGGTGTTTGATTTATTAGAGAGTATTGAAGTAGGTATGTAGATGATCTTACTCGTGTTAAAAACAAGGGTTTGCCTACTGATGGAGATTGGAAATATGCTTGTGATTTGCTACCTTTTCTTAAAAATTTCTATGAAACTACATTGAACCACTTTATGTAACTAGAAAAAAAATACATGAAACAAATTTATGGTATTGGAATTGTTCTTTCTTGGAGGCATAAGAGTAATGATTTTTCTATTAATTTTATAGTTTCCAAGATGAAGAGGAAGTATGACTAGTATTGAGGAAATGTCAACAATATCAACACCATGTTATTTGTTGTAGTTATTCTTGACCCTTGATGTAAATTGGAGTATATGAATTGGGTTATTAATGAGTCATATGATGTGGATACTATTAAAGTGCTAAAAGAGAAAGTAAAACAAATTTTGACTTCTATGTATGAGTTTTATAGTTTAGCTCAGTCATCTCCTAATATCCATTCAAGTTTAGATATCCCTAAGCCGAATCTTTGGATCAGTTCGAACCAAATAATAGATCTGATCATAAACTAAATTGAATTCGGATCACTCCCTACCCGATCCGATGTACATATTTATATATTTTATATATATTATATATATATTTGTATTTTCTGCTTTCTTTATTTAAATTGTTATATATATATTTTTAATATTTTATTATTATTTTTAAATTAAATTGCAACGGATTAGATCCAAATATCTGACTTCCTCATGGGATTCATATTCAAATCTATGTTTATGAGATGCAATCGGATCTGCTGTTAATAATATTGGATCGGATTTGGATATACCTTGATTTGAATCTGATCCAATATCCCTACTGAGCAGGTACGCTTGTTAGTGATACCTCAAACTTCATAATTCAATCCAATTATCACATATTTGGTTGAGATGTTTATGTAAACAAATTTTGATTTTGCATTTTACACCCGATTAAAAGTATAAAATATAAAAACAAAAAATACATAAAAGTTTATAGAAAATTTTGGATATATTATTATTATCATTATCCTCTCCCTTGTGTCTCATTATTAATGTTTTCGTTGCTAGCTTATAACAAATTGGGATTTGTTTCTCATAGAGTGCTTCTCACACTGATCTCACTATACATCCCACCATGCATTGGGAACATCTCTCCATGAATAACAACATACACGCATGGGATATAAATATATGTCCCAACGTGTGGCTGAAATGCACTATCATACCATTTTTGTCTTAGAGGCCGTCATATTTCACTTATGTGATGATGAGTATGGGATATGACAGGTTTTGGAAATTGAAAGAAAAAATTAAATAGGATTGAGATGTTATGTGGATTTAAGAATGGAAAGAGCAATTTTTGCAGTTACCCTATCCTACCCCGTTGCCATACATGTTTTCAAATTGTAATGGATTTCTACTTCAAAGCCGAAACCACAAGGGAGGATTTTAGGGCCACTTTGCATGAAAATAATTATTTGTAATTAATTTTTTTTGCCTTTTTTTTTCTTTCTTTATTCATGTTTTCTTTCCCTTTTCATATCTTTATATATGAATTTTGTCAATCTATTCAAAAAGTAATAATAAAAGTCAAATTTTGAGTTTTTATTAGTGGTAAAATTGGTGTTATTTATCCAAATTCATGCGTGAGTTTTGATTGGTCAAAACTCTTCCCATCTCATATCTTTTCTGCATCATAGATTTTCTCAAAATTGAAACTTTTGGTTAATTTTGAATTCTAACCTCCAAACGAATCAAAATAGCATCAATTAGAATGTGATGAGACTATTCCGATTTCGATTTTGATTCTCGCGACAAACCCGTCAATAAAAATCGGAGAGTTAAAATTTCAAGTCGTTGGTAATGGGAACGGGTGTTCAACTGTTAGCCGAGGCCTTGTTTGGCATCAATCCTCCGGAGAACCGGAGTAATTCTTTTCATTCTCAGGATGAGAACCGGAGTAATTCTTTTCATTCTCAGGATGAGAATGGCGTTTGGTTCGAACTAGTCCACCGATTCCCATTTGAAACGGGATGAAAAAATCCCCCATTTTACCGAGTAAAAAGAGAAAAATGATGAGAAATGCGATTCTCACATAACCCAATTCTCACATGTCAAAGTTCAAATTCCGAACATGTGAAAGTTGGGATGTTTTTGTAACTTCAGGTTAGGCTCTAACACTCACCCGATAAATCCTACTTCAGTTATTGTTTTTTCCCATGTTCTGAGAACCGGATCGGATCGATTAGTTGAACCATAACCTGGCTCCTGATCGGTCCGGATATATCCCTAAAACCGTGTTTTAAAAACCGTTCGCCCGACCGATTCAGTCGGCGAACCGGTCCCGGTTTTGCATAATCGGCCGTTTTTTAACATTTTCACTTTTAATACAAAAAGACAAAAAAACTTAAAATTGGGCCAAACAGCTTCACTCCTAAAATCCCAATCCCCGCCAAAAATAAACCCTCTTCGATTGATTTCGGATTCTCTTCTTCCTCTTCCAACCTAACCTAAGTCCGGTCACCAGTGACTCCAGCCACCACCACCAGCGCCTAGCCGCCGACGCCAGGTAGTCTCTCCCCTCCTCTTTAGTCTTTCTTCTTCTTCTTCCCGCCGGTGGATTCTGTTCACCGTGCGCGTCCCTCCATCTCCGCCGGCCGGTGTCCTCCTCTTCTTCTTCTTCTTCTTTTCTTTGGCGGCGGCGGCGGTGCTCTGCTCACCGCCCTCTCCTGGTCTTCTTCCACCTTTCCTTCTCCTCCTCCTACCGTCTGAATCTGACTTCTTTTTCTTTAAGTTTGAATCTGATTTCTGCAACATTTAGTCATTTATTTCTAATGTTTATTTATTTTTTTTAATTCTTGTAATTGAAATTAATTAATTACTGATAGTTTTGTTACAGGTTTGGTTTTTGGTTCAGGCTGGAATTTCATCTTTGCTTCAGGCTTTCAGTCCACCAAATTCGGCCAAGATACACACCTAGTTGTTCAGTATTGCAGGTTAGCCTAAGCCCTATTGAACTCTTGAAATAGAAATTTGAACTTTAATAAATTGATTTCATATTTTGAATTTAGGTGATATTGATATTGAAATAGCTGAAAATTTAGGTAATATTGATATTTTGAATTTAGGTGAACTTAGAATAGTGATAGTGATAACATGATACTAAAATAGCTGAAAATTGAAATCAGGTTTAGTTTATCATATTTGCATTATAATTTTTGAAATGATATTCTTGAAATGCCTTTTTGATGATGGTAGTTGTAGAGAACAGTGATGTGGTACCCACTGTCCGTTAGTTTGTGATTATAGTTAGCAGTTATTTCAGTTGGTAGTTTATTAGTTCTTTTGCCATGTAAGCAGTAAGGGTAATTCAACCCTTTCACTTTTTATTTGAGTATTAATATAAATTATAGAGTGGGGCAACAAGTTAGTCAACTCTCTCTCTCTCTCTCTCTCTCTTTTGAAATTTCACATTGTACCTAGGAATGATTATAGTCCTATTCGATTACATGGTATCAGAGCCAACCTAGGAGTTCTCATGCTAGTCTAATTAGGCCATTCCAAATTTGATCCTAAAGCCTCAAAATGCATTTTCCTTAGTTATGCACAAACTCAAAAGGGATATTGTTGCTATGAACATATTTCTGTGAAGAGGTTTGTTTCTATGGATGTCACTTTCTTTGAGGATGTACCTTATTATCCTAGGGTTTCTTCTCAGGGGGAGAGTAGTGAGGTGGGGGTTCATTCATTAGATCTGTCCCAATCACTGAAGAGGAGTGTAGTGGGGAGGGTTGCCAGAGGTGCCGGGATTTGAGAGTTTATCACAGATGGTGGAGGCAGGTTGATTTCGGTCATTAGTAGTCCAGGCCAACCCAATTCTTTTTGTGGATCCAGATCTAGGTACTATAGTTTCGTTATCTTCCATTACAAATGAGATACCTTCAATTGTTGAGCCTTCACCCCCCTTTTGTTGAACCCTCATCTCCATTGGATGACCTTGACCTCCCCATTGCAGTCCGTAAAGTCAAGCACCGTTGCACCTCATCTACAACTCACTGTATTTCCCAGTTCCTGTCTTATGATCATTTGTTTCCATCTTACAAGTCCTTTCTGGCATCCATTGCTGATATTCCCATTCCTAGAACAGTGCAGGACGTATTGTTATTACCTGAGTGGAAGGATGCAATGAAGGTAGAAATGGATGCCCTTCTGAAGAACAATACCTGGGAGCTAGTTGATCAACCTAAAGGGAAGAAGCCGGTTGGATGTAGATGGGTGTTTACTGTAAAGCATAATGTTGATGGTTCCATTGAAAGGTATAAGGGCAGATTAGTTGCAAAGGTGTTTATTTAGACATATGGCATAAACTACTTGGAGACTTAGTTGCAAAGAGGACCATTATCAGAGTTTTATTATCTCTTGCAGCTAGTTACTCATGGCCTTTGTTTCAGATAGATGTTAAAAATGCCTTCTTCAATGGAGACTTGCAAGAAGAAGTTTACATGCAGTTGCCTCCTGGATTTTATAGTGCAGGAACAGGAAAGAAGGTTTGTCGGCTAAATAAAGCCTTATATGGACTAAAACAGTCTCCTAGAGCCTGGTTTGATAGATTCAGACAAGCTCTTGATAAGTTTGGCTATGTGCAATCCTAGTCAGATCACACTCTGTTTATTAAGAAAGTTGACTCTTCCTTAACGCTGCTTGTTGTATATGTGGATGATATTGTAATGGTAGGGAGTGATATCCATGAGATTGAGTCTCTTAAGTAGCTCCTTCGTCAAGAGTTTGAGGTAAAAGACCTGGGAGAGCTACGATATTGCTTGGGTATTGAGGTAGCTCGGTCCAAACATGAGATTTTTGTTTCCCAAAGAAAGTATGTTCTTGATTTGTTGAGATAATATTGTTTCTTGGAGGAGTAAGAAACAAAATGTTGTTGCTCGCTCCAGTGCTGAAGCTGAATATAGGTCCATGGCAAATGGTGTGGCTGAAATACTATGGTTGAAATCACTATTTGAAGAGTTGGGTATTGCTTATGAGAAACCCCTAATGCTGTACTGTGATAATCAGGCTGTTATTAATATAGCCCATAATCCGGTACAATATGACAGAACTAAGCATATTGAAGTGAACCGACACTTTATTAGAGAAAGAGTTGCTTCTGAAGAAGTGTGTCTTCCATATATCACCTCCAACATGCAGCTTGCATATCTTCTCACCAAGGCAGTTTCAAAGACGAAGTTAGAAATAGCAAGTTGGGAATGACGGACATCTATTCCCAACTTGAGGGGGAGTGTAGAGAACAGTGATATGGTCCCCACTGTGTTCGTTAGTTTGCGATTATAATTGGCAGTTATTTCAGTTGGTAGTTTATTAGTTCTTTCATTATTTCTTTTGCCATGTAAGCAGTAAGGGTAATTCAGCCCTTTCACTTTTTATTTGAGTATTAATATAAATTATAGAGTGGGGCGACAAGATAGTCAACTCTCTCTCTCTCTTTTCTGAAATCTCCTCTTAGAGTTCTCCTTCTCTTCTCTTCGTCTTCTCCTTCTTTCTTTCTCAATCTTTTCTTGATTATTTCACATTGTACGTAGGACTGATTGTAGTCCTATTCGACTACAATGGTTATAATTAGGATTGAGTCTTGAACTTTTTTTTTTTAGATCAATAACACTTTCATTAAATCATTAGTAGAAAATTTACAAGAGGAAGACAAACACACTTATCTTCCAAGAGCCACAAAGAGCCTCATGAAAGGAAAAAAGAAGAAAAAGAGAAAAGAAGACACTAAAGTTACAGCTTAGCCCAAAACAATGAATCCCTTTCTGCCCCTTGTTTAGCTAAACCGTCAGCTAGGGAATTAGCCGATCTTTTAACCCAAC